CTTCAAGAACGTGAGTAATTCATCCTCTAACTTGATATCCATGAAAGACCAATCTATCTAAGCCTTAGGTGTGTAATATTCGTCATATTCTTCGTGTTTGGAAGTGAGTGCGGCCGCACACCCCCTTTAAGGTGGCCGCACACTCTTAAAACACCATCCAAAGTGAGAGTTTGACTTCCATACTCGAGATAGACATGATCCTAGCCTTATTGCACCTTGGAATTGACATTTTGGACATCTTCGTGTGGGGTGTACGACCGCACACACCTGTGTACGGCCGCACACACCCTTGTGCGGAAGCACACTCCTTGTGTGCGGCAGCACACTCCTATGTGCGACCACACACTCATCCTAGGGCCGCAAACCCACTTCTAGACCCCTTAACTTGCACTACAATTGAGAATAGACCTAGAACACTTCGTGGATACAAGTATGGGCCTTGAGAACACTTCAAGGGCACCTTCTTTCATGAGTGTACGGCCGCACACCCCTTGGGCCGCACACCCATGGCCGCACACACACTCAAGGTGGCCATACACTCCCCTCATGCAATCCTACAGGGTCCTATTACTTAGTGCAAGTAGTTCCAAGTCTCTAGAGTGGTTTTCCATCACATCTAGTGGTGAAATACCTTCATTTGACTCTTTTATGTGTCATTACGTGTTAATTAGGATCAAATCGTGTTCAAGGCGTCACTTGAACACCCAGCTTTCCGTATCGATCCTTCAATCAAACCACTTACCCGAGGTGAGTTCATACCCCTACATTTTCCGTGTTTTTAATGTTTTCAGGGGGGAATACAAGCCAAACTCAAGTATTTTATTAAGTTTTAAACTTATTAATACAGTCCAATGATTTCCACGTTTAATAACATACTCGTATATTTGATCCCTTTTGTAATATGTTGAGCATAAGGGAAACTGTTATTTTGGAAATCTAACTTCATAGCTTTCAGAAAGGTTTTACAAAGCATTTGCCATATCAACTCTAATAAACTATAATGGGTATAGTTTGGGATAACCCTCTAGGCAGTTTCTACCAAATCAGATTTCATGGATGAATATATATATAAACTATGACAGATTTATTTTATGTTATATGTTTTCTCAGAAGTATAAAGTACATTTATTCAAGGATAATTACTGTTTTATACTGTTTCTCGCTAGTAAACTAGATTATACAGAATTGTGAGGCGCTACTTCAATACTGTACCCTTAGGTGTACATGGATAAATCCTTTTAGTATAACCAGAGTCTCCTGGAGGGAGAGCGTGAGATTTGTGAATAGATCTATTCGGGACTGACAATCCCACACCTGAACTGCTAGCTACAGTTAGGCGGGCACGCCTGGGGTGAACAAATGGCATTTAGCTTAACGCCTGAAGAACGTTGTAAAGGTCTCTCGGTCATATCAAGTATGGTTATACGACTCGCAAATAAGTATAAACTAACTTTGGTTTACGGACTCTACTCTTCATTTGTTTTATTTTGAGTAATAAAACTACTTTCACATACATATACTGATAGTAATCAGGGATTTCTAAACTTGCATCTCTACCTTTAGGACGGATAACCTGTTTCTAGGGAAAATATGGGATTTTCCCAGGATAACACCGACATTTCTAAAATTGATGGTTTATTTTCTACTAATGGATACTCTTTCAACTCTACTTTTCATAAGAAAATATGGGATTTTCTTGAGATACACTTTCCAAAAGAATCAAAGAACATTTTCCACTAAAAACTAAATGCTTATGAACTCACCAGCTTTATGCTAATATTCTTTCAAATTGCTTGTATTCTCATGAAATCAGTAGGTAGGTACTTCTTGGATTTAGAGGAGCCGGAGCAATAAGAGTCATGTTTTCATATTCTACATACTTTTGGTGTATTTAAAACAAGTTTCAGACCGATGTAAACATTTTTCATATATATATTCATGTTATGGTTGTGTTACTATGATTGCTATTGTACAATGGTTGTGATGCTAAACATGACGTCCTCCACCCCGGAACGTTTCCGCCATTCTGGTTTCGGGGTGTGACACCCGCACACTTAAGATTTGTCATTATAGGTAGGGGTCTTAGCTAAGTATTTAGACTTAGATGATGAATGTGTCTCATTTAACCATTGTGTGAATAACCTTAATAGTTGTAGCTTTTACTTTATAAGTTTAAGTTATCAGGGAGATGTCGGTGTTGTATAATTATATTAATATATAATTATATTAATATGTAATTATAACGTTTAATTATCCTTAAACGGGTAGAGTAACGACATAATATTGTTATTATCCATTTTAAATGAGCAGAGTAACATCGTAATATAATATTATCCATTTTAAACGAGCAGAGTAACGACATAATACAGTTATTACCCATTTTAAACGAGTAGGGTAACATCATACTATAGCTATTATCCATTTTAAACGAGCAGAGTAACAACATAATATAGCTATTATCCATTTTTAAATGAGCTTAGTAATAATAGATCTAAGTTTGCATAACAAGGCTTAATTAATTATCAAATCAGGAATGGAGCATTTGGGAGTAAGTGATCATTTTTCAAAAACCAAAAAATGGTTATTTTCTTTAAAAATCTCATTTATAATGGTTAGTTTACTCAATGTTCGTTTTTTAAATATAACAAATGGGACATTAAGGTTTTTAAAATGATATTTAACCTTTTTTCCATTTCATGTATATCCAAAGCTAATAGTTTGTTTCCATTTGGAGCGATAAAGGTAGTCTAAAAGTAAAATCAAATTAAAAAATATGTTAATGTTAAATCTAGGGGTGGCAACTCTCGACCCAACCCGTAACCCGACACTGACCCAACCCGAAAATAGACGGGTTTGGGTTGAGATTTTTGACCCGCCAACCCACCAACCCGTTTATTTCATGGGTTGGGTTGGGTTATCTGTTTGGGTTCGCGGGTCAACCCGCCAACCCGTATATATATATATATATATATATATATATATATATATATATATATATATATATATATATTATATATATATATATATATATATATATATATATATATATACTGATATATTTAAATATTAATTAAATTTGATTTCCATCCATATTCGTAATTTTCCGTATCATTGTATTCCTTCCGTATTCGTATGCGACTAATCTGCATTTGAGGTTCGTTAATCAGAAAAAGAAAAAATATATGTCGTTATTTCAACGAAGAACACATCCACTTTCTATGAATGTTTTAATTTTTTATTTTTATTTGGATGTTATTGACTTTATGAATTTATGTTGAAAACCTTTTTTTTTATGTTAATTACTTTAACCATTTTATGAATTTATGTTGAAAAAACATCATTTTTTAAAATGTGTTGTTTATTTATTAAACGGGTTATATGAGTTGGGTTTGACCCATTAACTTGTGAACCCACGAACCCATATACTTAAACGGGTTATATGGGTTGGGTTGGGTTGAGGTTTCCAACCCACCAACACGTGACCCGCCAACTCGTCAACCCATATATTATATGAGTTGGGTTGAGTTTATGTTTTCTGACCCACCAACCCGTAAACCCGTGACCCGCCAACCCGAACCCAACCAAATTGTCAGGCCTAGTTAAATCATAGTTACTAATTAGTGAATTGTAGTAAATTATGACATTAAAATAATTTATGAATTTTGAAATTATAAGGAAATCCACATTAAAAAAACTGATATCCATTTTTTACGACATTTATTACAATAATTATTTATCAATATTACGTGAAATTTAATAAAATAGAAAAAAACCATACAATCACATGTGGAAAAAAATAACTTGAAATAACCATAAAATAATATGTGTTAAAATGAATGAGAGTATGACATGTGACAAAAATATCTTTATTTATTAGAATAGACTTCTAAAGGAGATAAGTTACGAAAGGAAGCATGGAGAAACTATTAGATATCATTTTTTAATAATTATTTTATTATTTTTTAAAATTACTCTCACAGTTCACATTGTTGGAAATTACAGAGAAATAAGTAAGTTGGTTATATCCTTTATCTCATATTGGATGAAAGAAACATTGTACGAGTTTTTAATCTTATTCTCTTGATAATCTTTCAAAAGGCTTTAGTAGAGACAATCGATGTGTCAAGCTCACACGTGCGCGCCTAGCCTAGTCATAGGCGCAGTTGCACATTTCACACAATGCATCGATCGCTGGGAACCTTCTGTTGACTTCGCGGATAAGCAATAGATTCCGGAAGCCTCAAGAAAATATTGGATAAACTCTAGGTCTATTCGAAAGAGATATCAAATAACGACATCATCATATTCAAAATTCGAATTGTCACATGATAGCCTTCGAATGATCGGACGTCGTCATCAGATCTACTTTTGGGAGATTCGATTATTCATATCTAGTCTAAATACGACCTCCCATGTCCTATTTATTCCACACCTAAAAATCATCTTTTGCTCTCCTGGCTCTCTACCTGTGCGTTTTTTTACAAATAACAACATATGAGTTCTTCCATTTTCCGAATAATCACTTCATGTTTATCTCTTCTTTCATACCTGTTGGAATGAAAAATATTCTGCATCAAATCCTCGTTTTATGTTGCAGCTCACAGCCTTATAGCAACGTAAAAACCTTTAAGGGCAAGAGTTTTTTCGTGCAATTTTACACCAGTCAAGATCAACTACTACGATGTTGGTTTTAATTTTAGTGCTCCGTCTTTTAATTTCGACTGATAACAAGACATTCTTCCTTCTAACTTTCTTATAATCAGATCTGATTGTGAATGATCGATTTGGCTTCTGGACGGAACTTGGTAATTAATAATACTAGTTGGATTTATTAATCGCAATTAATCGATATGTAATTCTCAATATTATTTGTCTGTTTGATTGCTTGTCTTTCTGACTGAAATACAACACACGTTACTAAAAAATTCTACCTCATGAAAAGTACCGTTCAAGTTTGAAAAAAAAGATCACAAATATAAGTATATAACTGAATAGAAACAAGGCCAACATTTACATGATGATCACATTACTTATGAAAAAATTATCCATGCACAAGTACTATTTATCATGCAAACAAACTTCTAATACTTATTTCCCCCCACAAAACTGGAACCAGTCTTCCTCATCATGAAGAACAAACTGTACAAGTTTGGATCTTACCTCTGGTGGAATACGAGTTGGGCGATAGTTTTTGTCAAGCCAAACTAGAGTCGCCTGTGCCTCCAAAATTGGCTACATCAAAAAAACAACCATTGAAGGGCTTTTCTGTCTTTTAACATCCTAGCGACAAGCCAAATAAACTAAGGATAAAAGTATGTAACCTCTTGATTTGGGATCTTGAAGATGAAGTCTTCAAAGTACATGCGAGTAGCCGATGAATCAGATATCCTCACTCTCACAATAAACCTCTCTCCAATCTGTTTTCATCAGAATACCATCAAGAAACTATAAAGGGTGGTTGAGATTTGAGAATAATTATTAAAAAATATAAAGACATACTCTCAAAGGTCCATGAAACTTGAGTGATAAATCTGACGGAGCTAAAGCATTGCCAGTTTGAGCAACTGTATCGACATTTATGCCAATCTTTTCCAAATGTTCATGATGTGCTGTTTAATGATAGAAAAGATTGTAACTTGTGATCTCATTAAATAACTAACTGAATTATGTGAAGTAAAGACTGACCATGTTGACAATAATTAGCAAAGATTGCATTGTTTACAACTCCATATTGATCCGTTTCGTAATCTCTAACTCGTAGTTCAATCTCATGAAATTGACTCATTCTGTAAAGAAGGATTAACAACAAAACTGGATTCAATATACCAATAAAAATTCAGAATCTCTTTAGATTCTATGAACTTCACATTGTTCTCCCAGCTATGGCGTTCATATTGAAAAAGCTGCATTAGATTTCAAAGCACACAGTGGCAATTAAATTAGATATGGTTAGCCTGTAAAATGACTAAGCAACACCTAAGGAAAACTAACGTCCAACACTCCAGTACTTTGAACATGTGATTAAAAATTAATCCTGCATAGAATATATCAGGCAAAACATATTTGGATTGGACGCCAAATAATAGGATTAATTTAGTACTCACCCTTTGCCACCTTTGAGATCAAAGGAAAAATTGGTTGTACTCTGAATAGGCGTTGTGAGTGACTGTAACAGCAGAGGTTGCCGCCGGTGGTTCATGCGGTGAGGTACGTGAACATTTGATGGAGGATGGTGGACGCCATCGGCGGATGACATCTTTACACGTGAGGTCGGAATGATCACCTGCCCGGGGGAGAAGACTGCCTGCGACTGCGACATTTCGCCTGCGTTTCTATCTAATGATTGGAGATTTCGCATGATTTTCTGCGAACAACTCTATAGATATTTTATAATTGGTAATCAATATACAGATACCACCCTTCTCTTTACCAGAATTTATCAATCACCCCTTCTACTATCGGTATTTTTGCAAATAAGTACTCTTCACAAATGAGATGTGTAAGATCAAAGTTCCAAAAAACGCATCGTGGCATTGAGGATATACTTCTATAAAGTAGAATATTTATATTCACTATTCTTTGATGTTGATTCTCACATGCAGTTCCGACTTAGTAACTCTTCCCATCATAAATGAATAAAAACAACCTATGTATTAACATTATGAATTTTATTCAATTGTCCTCAATCAAGCTACCTGGAATTACGCTTGTAACCTATTTACATTTACTTATTTACATTTAGTGTACAGAGGTAAAAAATGTGCTCCTCGGAGCCACCAATCCTACCTCCTATCATCACAAAAAACCTGCAAATAACTCTCCACCTCCATGGCGCCTTCATCACTTGTTCAAATAACAACGAATACTCACTTCCCAATCAAATTAACTAACAACTTCGAATTTCCCAGTGTGGCGAAAACAAGTATTGTCCACCCTAATCGGGTTGGACCTTTATTCGTTCATCACATGAACGACCAAACCACCAGCCAAGCTCCTTGCTGGGTCTAAACCGAACCCTGATTACACTATATGGTACCGTCAGGATCAAATCATGATAAGCGCAATTCTCAGAAGTTGTTCAGATGCCATCCAATGCTACTTTCCTCTGCTAAAACCGCTAGTGAAGCCTGGAATCAACTCAATGTAAGTTATGATAACATATCTCGCTCTCGCATAATATCCATAAATCAAAACTCACCAAAAATCCCAAAGGGACTCGACCAGTTGTGGATTTCCTGCACGAGATGAGAACCATAGCCGATGAACTAGCCCTAGCTCAAAGCCCGGTTGTGATGAGGACCACATGGTTCACATCCTAGCCCAACTTGGTGATGATTACACTTCTATCAATGCTGCTATTAAGGTTCGAGAAAACCCTCTCTATTATCCCGAACTATTTGACAAACTGGTTGATTTTGAAAGAAGTCTGCAAGAAAGGGATCCTCCTACAACTGTGGTTTTGACTGCAAACTTCACTCAACGTCACAATTCCCAGAATTCAAGTCGGTTTTACGGAGAAAACTCCAACTATTCAAACTGAAATAATAGGAACCCAAACAACAAAAACAATCGTTCTGACTAGCAACCTTCAAATTCAAGGGGCGATCGATCATCTCATGTATCTAGTTTTTGCAAATATTGCAATATCCATGGGCATAACACAAAGGACTGGCGCAAGCTAGCACAATTTCTTAAAGAAAACCAGGTTACAATTGCTCCTACTGTGAATACTACAACACCTCGGTCAAATCCAATATCTCAATCTTGGATGTTTGATATGGGTGCCTCTTATCACATCACCACTGATCGATCTTCATTACACCCACTATCCGTTTATGGTGGAGCCGATGAAATCGTACTTGGCAATGGTAACCCTCTTTCCATTACTCACATAGGAAACACCCAACTTTACACTAACTCACGCTCTCTAACTCTATCTAATGTTTTGTGTGTGCCTAAACTTAAAAACAACCTTATTTTTGTTGCCAAACTATGTAAATCTTGTTTCTGTTGAATTGTTTCCATATCATTATTTAGTTAAGGATATTTGTACGGAGGAGCCACTTCTACCGGGGGGGGGGGGGGGGGGGGGGGGGGGGAACATCCATGATGTCTACTACAACAGCCGTGGACAAATTTCACAACTCAATTCCACAACAAAAGTGTCCGTCTCTTATTTGCATCACAAGTCGGAACATCCATCCATTCGTGTTTTCTGTTCCTTGTTTAAGCATTTTGATATTAACCAAAAAACTATATATGTTGCTCATGATCATTGTGATTCTTTTTAACAACCCAAAAACAGTAATAAAATTTTCATTTTTCAAATACCCAAAATACAACCAATTTGTCTCAAAATCAACCAGAGTATAAAATATTCTCAACATCAGAGTAATAATTACACAATAAAACCCTAATCTGAAGACTGAAAAATCTCACACCCAAGCTGCCGATACTTACAACTCCTCACACTAAACATTTATACAATAAAGCTCTAATCAGAAAATAAGATACTAATCCAAAATTAGGTATTGGTTCATGGCTGCTCTATATTGGGGTAAAAGACCATTTTACCCTTTATGGCTAGAATCCACCCTACATGACCCAAAACCCAAATTGACCAAAAATCTAACTTCTCGAGTTATGGAATGCGTACTATGCTCTATGCCCAGCATAGAGCCTTTGGATGGAGTCAAGACAAAATCAGGCTACGCCTTGTGTAGTCAGAGTTACGCCCCGCGTACTGTACTATTTTACCAATTTCTCAAAAATCTCTTAGTACTTCAAACTTAAACATCCAATTCTCATATCTAATCCTAAATAATGTATAAAATGTTAAAGTCTCAAACTTTATGCCTTTGCATGGCTTAAAAGAGCCTAAGACCAAGCCCTAAGTCCAAACCACACCCCACATCTTACAAACTCATGCATGGAGGGATGGGAGTGACCAAGATCCCATTTTTATGACTCAACCAGCTCATAAATGGATAAAAAATGGTAAACATGAGATCTGGAGTAGCTCATACTCACTAGGATCAAGATCAAGGGACAAAAGCACAAGAAAAACCATAAACTAACTAGATCTATCAAAGGAATCATCAATGTTCAAGCTTTATACCTCCTGCAGAATGTTGAAGAAGAACAAAGTCTGGATATACAAGCTATGGACTCCCAAGAACAACTTCAGTGGATTCCTTCTTCACAAAACACCCAAATAATCACTCAAAAGCTTCATAGTTCACACTAATGGGCCAGGGTTTCGAGATGAATGAATGGAGGTGTGGAGGCTGAGTATGGAAAGGGCGTCAAATGGAAAGAACATTAAATAGGGCTCTCAACCCATAATCAGGGTTTTGGAGGATATGCTCCTATGCGCTGTGTAATTAGAGTTACGCACCACGTAGGCCATAAAAACCCTCGCAATGTCTTATTGACCTATGCCATGCGCTGGTGAGTAGCGTACGCCCTGCGTAGGACCAATTTCCATAAAAATTAACTTTTAAAAATAAAAGGAAAAATACATGAGGAAATGAGTGTTACAACTCTCTCCCACTTGAATTAGACTTCATCCTCGAAGTCCGCTTTTGCAAATAACTATGGGTCATGCTCCCTTATCTCCTCCTCACGATCATACGCCCACTCTGAACCCTTCCGGTGCTACCATTGCACCTTAGCTAAGCCCACTACCTTGTTGTGCAAGGTCATCATTTTCTTATGAAGAATCACAATCGGTTTCTCCATATAATTTAGGTGCTTTTCCATTTGAATATTATCCAAGGGAAAAACTACAGAATAATCAGTTAGGCACTTCCACAACTGAGAGACGTGGAATGTGTTGTGGATCTAGCTGAGCTCGTCGGGCAGGTCCAACCGGTACGCAAACTTGCTCACCTGGGCGATAATCCTGAAAGAACCAATATACCAGGGGCCCTGCTTGCCCCACTTTCGGAATCGGATGACACCTTTCCAAGGCGACACCTTAAAAAGCACATAATCTCCCACCTGAAACTCGAGGTCTGATCGTCGTCGGTTAGCATAACTCTTCTAACAACTCTATATGGTCTGTTGTCGAGCTCGCACCTTCTGGATCAACTTGGTGGTCTTGAGTATGACCTCAGTACTCCTCATAACCCAATACCCGACCTTGCCCCAACAAATTAGGGTCCAACATCTCCTCCCATAAAGCATCTCGAATGGAGTTCGATCGATACTGGCGTAATAGCTATTGTCGTATGAGAATTCGGCCAATGGAAGATAAGTATCCCAACTCTCTTCAAAATCTAACACACATACCCGAAACATATCCTCAAGAGTCTGAATAGTCCGCTTGCTCTGCCCGTTAATCTGAGGGTGGTATGCGGTGCTGAAGTGTAGCTGAGTGCCTAACTCCTCATGAAATTTCCTCTAAAACCGAGAGGTAGAACGAATATCTCGCTCGGAAACCACCAAAACTGGCACCCCATACCTAACCACCATTTCCCTAATGTAGATGTCTGATAGCTTCTCGATAGATATACTCTCAGTGATATGGATTAAATGAGAACTCTTGGTTAATCTATCCACAATGACCCAAATAGAATCAACCCACATGTTGTCCTTGGCAACTTTGTGATAAAATCCATTGTGATCTCCACCTATTTCCACATGGGAATGGGTAACGATTGCATCTTGACTTGGGGTCTCTAATGTTCGGCCTTGACTTTCCAGCAATTCAAGCATTGCTCCATAAAACATGCTACATCCCTCTTCATACAGGGTGACCATTAGCTCAATCTCAAGTCTCTGTACATCTTCGTGGCTCATGGGTGGATTGAAATTTTCGACTTATCAGCGTCCTTCAATAATGTATGTCTAAGCCAACTAGTAACTGGAACCCACACCCTGCCACACTGTGTCAATGACTCGTGATCCTCTTTTCCTTCCAATTTTCCTTCTTCAATCCTTCAATTTGCGCCTTCTTGATCAACTCTAACAGTGGTGAGACAATAACCATCCTTAGATATAAACCTCTAATAGGTGTAGTCGCTGCCTTGCGGCTCAAGGCATCGGCCACAACATTGGCCTTCCCCGGGTGATACAGGATCTCACAATCATAATCCTTTACCACATCAAACCATCTCCGCTGCCTCATGTTCAAGTTCAGTTGATCCATTAGGTACCTCAGGCTCTTGTGATCGGTATAAATGATGCACCTAACCCCATACAGATAATGTCTGCAAATCTTGAGGGCAAAAACTACCGCCTCCAACTCCAAATCATGTGTTAGGTAGTTCACCTCATGAAGCTTCAACTGCCTCGAAGCGTAAGCAATCATGTGACCTCGTTGCATAGGTTTTTCTCCCAATCCAGAAATCGATG